CAGGTCAGATTTATGGGTATGTTAAAAGGTAAATTTTAATTTCACATTTCAAGTTAGTTTATGGCAACAATGACTGCCGTAACGAAGGACCCGGGTTCAAATCGCGGAGAAGGCATGGATGTAAATTGTGTGTCTGCATCTAGGGAGCAAAGATAGCCCACCTTTTCGATGCCTTCATAATACAATAACCACTGATTCCGGGCTTTACGCATAATACATTGACCACTGATTCCTGATAGTGGCCAGGGCTTCGGACGGCTAGTACCCGTCATTCGAAATAGAATATATATATATATATTGGAGTAATATTAATGTAAATTCCACTAACTCTTAAATTTGAATTTTTTAAACCTTCTATCATACTCATCATTAAAATAGTCATAGTAATTTTATTAAAGGTTCTTTTCTCAATTTTAACCGCATTATCTTAACTTTAATCTCTTCTTAAGATCTTTTTTGTCGCTTAATCTTTCTCTGAATACAACACTTACTTTGTGAATGAAGCAAATATTTTTATCAAATATTTGTAGCTATATGTTGACTAGATATTTAAAGAAGGGATTTCTTTAAGAAGGTACTCTCGATTATTTAGGGTTAAACCAAATTATATGCATTGTACAATACATCAGCTCAATGACACATTCACATACATTAATGTTGAAATTCAATAAAACTGGCAGATTATTGTCATCTTTGTCTAATGCATTTTCTAAACAATATAGACACACTGCAGCTACTGCATAGAAAGTAATATTTTATAAAATAGTATTTATACACCTGCTTTTAAATCTAAAGCGAAATAAAAGCGGTGATCCACCTTTCGGTGCCTTCATGATATAGTGACCACCGACTCCGGTCTTTGTAGTGGCCAATGCCTCTGAAGGCTAGTGCCCGCCATTGAATATATATATATATATATATATATTTAAACACAGGCTGTACGGCTTCTGGCTTGAAGGTAGAAAAAATAATATAAGTATATCCTTTACCAATTCAAATCCAAATTGATGCAGATTTCCCTAACTATTAAATTTGAACTTTCTTTCAAATTCATATCATAGTTATTATTAAAACTATCAGAGTCATTTTATTAATATTTCTTTTCATAATTTTAACTGCATTAGCTTAACTTTAATCTCTTCTTGACATCTTTTTGACGCTTAATCTTTTTCTGAATGCAAAACTTTGTGTACGAAGCAAGTATTTTTATCAAATATTTGTAACTAAATGTTGACTTGATATTTTACCAGGGAAATTTTTTAAGGGGGTAGGTACTCTTTATTATTTAAGGTTAAACCAAGTTGAAAGAACTGTACAGTCTGTCAGCTGAGTGGCACATTTATACAAGGTTATGTTTACAATGAGTAATAATGACAAATTATTGTCTTTGTTTAATTGCATTTTCGGAAAACTATGGACACTTCTGAGCTAGTGTCTAGAAAGGAATATTTCAGCAAATAATATTTATACTCTTTGTTCTAAATCAAAAGCGAAACAAGTGCAAAAAATCCTAATACGGGTACAAAAAATGCATTTATAAACACCCACAATTTCAAAGCTGTGACTTGTATATTCCTGAACTTCTTTCAAAATCAAGAATTTGTTTGAGAAAGTCACGTTTCTTGGAAATATTTTTATATTCTCAATATCCTCCTTTAAACTGATTAAACTGAGCCTTAAATTCAACGTCTTAACAAATACTAATTTCAAAATATTTTTTCCGTAAATTTTCCGATATTGTAATATTTCAATAAATTTCATGCTTTTTTTTTTTTTTTTTTTTTTTTTTTTTTGCATTTTAAAGGTACCTTAAAATTACAAACTATTATAAAAAACCAGGTATCATTGGCCCGGTATATAAAACATGTAGAAATATTTTTCGATTTAGTTCATATACAAAGGCACACCCGGATTAGTTTAAAAACCCTACTGAATTTCTTTCTCTGTCTAGATACAGTTATTTTCATCTGCAAATCTTATATTTCGCTAACGACAGTTGGTCTACAACACATTTCTTTTTCGATGATTATTTTCACTTCATCTGTATGGTATACTTTTAATCCTTAGTTAGTCTATTTATTAGATTGCAAAATGTGAATTATCCTAAAATGATTACAATATGAAAAGTCTTTGCACAGCAAGTCAATTTACAGAAATTCTTGCATTCTGGCTTCATTTTTGTAGTTCAAAGATTAAATGTTTGCTAATTCCGTAAATTTTTCTTTTAGAGATAGGGTGTATTAATAGTAAAAGTATATCTCTTTCTATTTTTAATCTCTTTATTTATTAGTTTATGCATTCGTCGCAAGACTTGATCAATTTAGCAACTTTCCAAATCATCAAAACTGCATTTTTGAAATCGGAAAATTTGCCAAATAACACTGTACCTCAAAATCTCTGAGTGTTTCTTAATTTTCAACTACCCTGTAGTGTTTTTGTTAGTTAAAATAACCAATTATTCAAATTTTTGTTATCGTTTCTGAACTCCTCAACTTTTCCTCGCATTTCCCAGACAGGATGCAAATTTAAAGTTAAGCGAAGTAAGTATTTAAACAGATGAATCTCGGAGTTTATTTAGAGCGTGTTTTCGCTTACCAGCTCACGTTACGAGTCTTTCTTTGCTGTTACGCGGAGTTGCTGATATGCCTTTTTGGCCATTTAAATAATTATAAAGTCGGGTAGGCTGTCGAAGTCAACCTGTGTTAGCTTTAAATTAAAGTGTTAGTCCATTACTACTCTTTCGCCTTGAATTTATTGTGTAACGATGTCGGTGTTATTGTAAACATGAAGTACGTGTCTTTCTGTTCAGGGTTGAATAATAATAAAGGGTTATTTTTACCCTCCTTCCGTGTTGGTTTCCTTACGCCTGTGCGAGAAGTCGCCGATCCTACAACCTGTCTATAAAATATTACAGCTATATTATTCATTATTACGTATTTATATAAAAATCATATTTACTTTTATAGAAAATTTCAGACTGGAAAATCTTCCTTTTAGATCACGACATCAGTCTAATACAGGGGTTTCAAATTACAAAATTTCCACTTCAGAGAATTCATAGTTTCAAGGTTTAATGTGGTCAGCCTCTTATTTATCTGTTAAATGTTTAGTTCCAATTTATAAAAAAAAAATTCTTCTATTCAAGTTGTAGGGTTTCTGCTACTTCTAGCAGCTTGTGTCAATGTCATGCAGACCCTAATAGAATGAAAGTGATTTATTGTTTAGTCTGAAATATATGACCAAGTCTTAAGAATTTTAGGATAGCTTTCTTTAGTTAACTGTTTTGTAAATATAAGGTATTATTTGTGCGATGGACGAACCTCCGCTACTTGCGTATATTTAAATTAATATAGTCTTAGATTACGCACTTAACAGACTGCTTAAGCTAGCTCAAAATAATTAGCGGCGCGCATTTTAAATGTCGGTTAAAAAAACGCTAATGCCGGAATTATTGTGGCAGAGTTGGTGATAGGATGTACTACAACGCAAGGCTGACACTAGATCTAAAGCCTTGAAACTTTCGGCTTGTGTATACAGCATTCTGGTGAGGACTATGGGAAAAGAAATTTAAGTAAAGTTCAAATCTTAACAGTTGGTTAATTTACATAAAACATTGTAACGTTTTAGCACTTAGCAACATTCCTCATACCGTTTCCTGTTTAATTTATAAAACACATTAAAAATAATATAAATTTAAATGAGTTATATGCATTTTTTGAGTTTTGAGGAGGAGTGGTGGATGGTTGTCCAGCAATGGTGAAATGAGCAGATCGGGCAAAAAGCTTAAGAACCACCAATAAACCAGTGTTACACATCAAGCAATCCGATAAGTATTTCCACAGTCTGGGAAAAGTCATCTAAAGCTACTCGGATCAAATGAATTATTAAAAATATTGTAGTACATATTACGTGAGCTAATATTGTTTAGTCGTTTCTACAGTTCCCATTTTTGTAAAGAACTACATCATTATTACACCATTTAAATCACTTATCTCAAGTTTTCTGAAGTTAATTATTGCTTTAATTATGCCAGTCCTTAACACAATTAAATATCTCTAAGGATTTCAGATTTCAAAATTTTGGATATTACTATCTTCCCCCGTTTTGGGGGGAATAAGTTGTAAATTTGATAATACTAAGCTAAGATGACTTATCCCATTTTCTCATTCTGCCATCAACAGATAAACAAAAAACATGCGACTGTGTTTTATTAAAATTTGTTTATATTTATCTGAAAAAAAAAAAAAAAAAAAAAAAAACCGCTGTTTCCAGAGCAATAGCGGACACTTAGGCTGACGAAGCACGTAACCTATAGTCCTTGGCTAAATGCCCAGTCGGCTAGATATGACGAGAAAAACCCAGGAAATATTTCGAAATTCAGATTATACCGACAAAAATAACTTAATTGACAGAATGTCCTTTATGGCAAAAATAGTAATGAATTTTCGAAGTTAAATGGGATAATACACTTTTCCACTCGTTATACTAAACCGAAAGTTAAGAAAATCTAATTTGTTTGGTTTAATGAACCATTTCCCTGCTTTGAAACCCTGAATCCATGAATATCATTATTTTCATAAACTTAACAGAATAAGATCATTGACGGAATTATTCACAGAATTGGAAATCCCGGTTTCCTTAAAACATTTCTGTATTTTTATCAATAAAATTATTTTCTAATTGTGTTTGACCTACGTTTCTAAAACTAGGATGCTGTATTTAGCACTTAGGCATTAAGTTGAGTCTACCTCCATTAAATTTTGAGACATCACAACCATACCTGAATACCCTTACAGGGAATCTTCTTCATTTTGACACTTAAATAATTCTATTTAATGTAATAGACTTCGATTTTCCGTACGAAATGTACTCGGATATTATTTTTCTTCCAAACTACCTCACGTAAATAAGCAAAAATTATGGTAAATATCTTCTATACTTTACGCAAATATAAATTTTCATAAAGCTTATAAATAAAAAAGTTATAAAAATCACGGAAATTATCTTCAAAATGCTTTATTTAAAGGAAACTGATACAAAGTTGAATGCTTTTCCTAAGCTACCGTAGTCTCTTCAGTTGGTGGTGAAGTTTCAACTTCAGTAGAAGGCATTGTAGGCATCTCTGTGCTAGGCACAGAACTGGTCGTCTCTGAGCCTATAGGAGCACATCTGTAAGATTTCTGTGAAAAGAAATATAAATATATTTTTTTTAATTTCTCAGTTTTAGTAAACGTTCAATAATAAATTTATAAAGATGAAGTTATAAATCACTTTATCAGGAAAAATACAACGAGTTTTGCTTTTTCAAAAATTTAAATACCTCTAGACATGATATGCCACAATAATGTTTCATCACGTCTATACTAAGTTCCTGAAGCCAAAGAAGATATTAGAATACGAAAATAGGTAGAGAATTTTTCAAAATAAATATATAAGAATTTCACTGGGGCTGACAATGAATGAAATTTTTTTTATCGATGCTCAGTTCAGTTTTTTCAACGCCTTTTTAAGAGCCTTACAAAGATGAGATTTCCATCAGAATGCTCTCCAACACTTCAGAAAATAACTTAATATTTTGAATTATAGCTTTATTTTAAACTGTTTTATAAACTTTTTATTAATACTTTATATTATACATCGGGGAAACCACACAAGACTTTTGCCACCCGTCGAGGACTTCTTAAAGGAAACTGGCTTTTATCCACCTTATATACAGGAGAAGGCGACGGAATTGCCCCTGCAGCCAGCCCGTTAGCCGGGACCCCAGCCCAGGACCGAAATACCAGTATTCAGCGGTTTTTACCATTCGGCCGTTGGTGGGTCTACTTATTCTGTTATGAATGAAATTCAACACATTTTCAAGATTCAGGCTTTTCCCTCACTTTGCTAGTAATGAGCCGTTAAAAAGTTCCTTCTGCCTCATTGTCAGAAATATATAACTGATTAAAGATTTTCTGAAAAAATTATTCTGCTGTCATTAAATTTCAGAAATAATGTGCTGTTAAATTGCTCTAGAATTCCACACAATACAAAAATTTTTATGCAGGTTTCAAATTCGGAATTCGAAAAAATACTATTCTTTTTAAAAATGATAGTTTATTAACTGCTGTAGCAGCCCCCATTCAAGAATTTGTCAAGTTGTTCTCACACAATTTACATAACGTTCGAAAAAGGGCTTAGATTTTAAAATCAGGAGTGCGGAGTCTTATAGAAGGCCGTCAGAAACAATGAAAAATAAATAAAATAACAATAAATAAACTCAAGCATAATCAATTAAAACTGGGTAAAATGAAAAGAAATAAATAGAAATACTCGAAAAATCAATAACTACAATACATATTTTAAATTTATTTAGTAAATGTATCATAAAAATTTTATGAATAATTCAACAAATGAAATCATCAGTATATAACAGAGAAATTGTGGCACCAAGAATATAAAGAAAAAAACTGATGTGTAACCACATGACTTCCTTGTACGGAATATTAAATTATACGCATTTTTTCTTACATTTCATTAAACTTATTGGATTGAATTAAATCTACTTCATCGATAGCGCATAAACCACAATAGAATAAATGCATTCTTTAAAATTCACTATATTTGTTTATAGCGAAACTCTGGCTCTAAGTTCACTTAACAGCGTTACATTTCATTCATTTTATAACTTATAAATACATCGCCGGAACTATTACACAAAAGTGTAATTTTGACGGCTCAGTGAGAATGAAGCCTAAAAGTTTCATGACGATAAGTTTCCTGGCATGGTAATCTCTCTAAGGAGAAACGGAGGCAAAGAGAAGAAAGAAGGGGGTTCTTGAAGCCCGAAATCAGAGAAGCGGTCTGACTGATGAATACGCTAGGATCTGATTGGATCATTTTATAACTCAAATTGCACAAAATTCATATCATCTGAACAATTATATAATCGTTGCTACGTGTTCTGTTCAAATAGTATAATAAATCTAAAACGATATATAAAAGAAATTAAGCAAAGGGAAAAAAAGAAACACTTTTCACAGATGATCAGTATTTCTCAATTAAGTTCTCACTTTGCGACAAGACAAAAATATAACAAAACTCATATCTATATTAAAAATTACGAAGTAAATCTTAAACATTTATTTCCTCGAAAAAATTCCAGTATGGATTAAGCATGATTTAATTCGCAATAATAAAAGAAGAAGTTATCTTTGTTGTTGCTAAGCTTACTTTCTCTAGATTGGCAACACATCCACTATTCTGCTAAGTTTCAAATGTAAACAAACATGACCGCCATGGCAAAAATAATTAGGCTTAGCGGCACTTTAAAAAAACTTTTAAATTGTTGATAATTCTCCAAATATTGCATGCAGATTTACTAAAGGCATAAAAACCTTAACCGGAAGATAACATAATTCAATCATTTTTAAAGCAAAAAATGCACAATTTACAAACATATAAGAATAAAGAAAATGAGATCACTGAACCGAGTAACAGAGAGGAAAAGCCGAGTAACAAAGCATAGTAGCAAAGCGTGATTGCAACCGAAATATGAGATGCACATCTACATGTTATAGCAGTCCTAAATACAAAATTTAAACATTCTGAGGCTACTCGTTTTTGAGTTATGCGAGATACGTACGTACGTACAGACGCCACGAAAAATTCTCTTTAGAATTCATTTTAAATCAGTGTTATAATTCTTTGGGGAAAGACTCCTTTATTCTGTCCTTACGTATAGATGTCACGCAAAAACATCGTTAAATTGCATTTGACATCGGTCAAAATGGATATTTTCTTTGAAATATGATACCTAAAATGTTTCGCGATTACAATACTTCCTTTTTACTTCGTACGAGGAAGTAAAAGTTAATATTTTAACAGCATTTTGGGAGATCATATATAAGTTTTTGAATAAATGTATATTTTATCTTCAAATCCACTTAAAGGCTTCCTGTTTCTGATAAGAATAGCCATAAATATTCTCTTTTTGAACGGGCAATTTAACAATGTGTTTTTTATATTATTCAAGGTTTTTCCTGCGTTTAATTCAAAAAAGAACATGTACTAGTCAGAATCAGTTTTAGATTTACTCTAGTAAGCCGAACTCTAGTAAGCCGATGCTAAATTTAAGCATTCTTATCAAATATTCAGTTCATTGTCAGAAATGAGCAACATGTACTGTGTGCATGTTCCAACAATGCTGGCATTTTCACTATGAAAAAATAAGATTTACTTTGGCTTCTGGTCTTTTATAATTTATGAGAATAAATAATTAATGAAAAACAAAGCATAAGAGTTAAATTCCTTAAAACATTATTTTCAGTAATAGCAAATATATATTATACTTATAGCATTATTATCAATAAATAAGCAATTTTTAAGCAAGAAAATATATGCTTACACATTCCAAACCTGCAGCACACTCTTTGCATCGTAGGAAACCTCCTCCAAGTCCACAAAAGTCACCTGAAATTCAATGAATAATTGAAATTTTACTACCTGAGGGAATTGAATTAATTTTTCTGCGTGATGTTTTTGCTTTTTTTTTTTAACCAAATATTACTAACTTTTTTTTTCTTGATAATGGAGATCTTATTTATTCCGGAAAATCTCAAAAGAAATATCGTGTTGGTTATTTATTTATTTATTCATTTATACTCATTTATTTATTTATTTTTAGATTTTATGCTTCTTTTCTCGAGTTAGCGCAAAGTAAATAACACCTGGAATTTTATAATTTTCAGAAATAATTTAAAATTATCTTGTACAGACATAAATTGTTTCGACTTAGGTAAAAGAGTATTCTTTATTGAACTTGGTATTTGTTCCTTCAGAATGTTTATTTAACTTATCTAAGATATGGTCACGTGACGTGAAGAAACTAATGGGAAAGTTTTCACTTTCATAATTTACGTAAATGGAGAAATAATCTTGAAAATTCATTTTTAGTATTGAAGTCACATATTACGGAAATGAATGGAAATGAATTTTGGAAATGAATTTAAGAAAAGTCTTCTGGTTTAAATTTGGCTAATGATGAACGTTCATGCTCAAACTTTGGTAGTAAATTTTACAAATACACTAAAACATTGAATAATAATGATGATTAAATAAATAAAGTAAATAATAATTGATAAGTAAAGTCTTTAACCTGCTTTACCAGGTAATTCAAAGTCCATTTCCTGCTTTGTCAGGAGAAATAAAAGTAGAAGAATGAAAATATCTATTTACATACGTACAGATTTACTACCACTGGCGTGAGTTGTGGTGAATCGTTTTAGATCTTTTAACAATGTTTTCAACTGTTGGAGCATAGTTTACATTCTCTTGAATGGCTCGATAAGGAGAATTTTGTATTTTTTGAAGGAAATCGTGTGCTGTAATTAAGATTTTGTTATGGTTGCATTTTATATATAATTCCTCATGGATGTCGGAATTTCGAACAAAAACCACGGAGCGTTTATGATGGCTCTAAATATCTTGTTTTGCAAGACTCTAATCTTTAATCTTTCTGTTTTCAAAGAAGTTGCTCAAGCCGGGACGGTGTATAATATGATAAGGCGAATTAAAATTAAATAAAGAGTTCTTTTCACGCGGATACTTAATTTATATTTTCTTCTTATAATGCAATAAATAGCCATAAATGCCGCATTTGCCTTATTTACTGTAGCAGTAACATGTTCTTTGAAGGTCAGGCGTTGTTGAATAATAACCCTGAGATACTTGTAAGAATTTAAAACTGGTAGAATTTCATTTTCAATTTTGACTTCAATGTTGACACTAATACAGCTTTTGTATCTTCTATAAAGAACTACTGAGCGTTTGGAGGTGTTGAGTTTCATCCGCTAGAGTTGACATCATTTAGCAACCGTATTACATGAAGTTTGTCAATGGCCAGTTGAGAATGCAATTATTTTGAGAGTGTCATCTGCATATTAAGTATTACAGAATTTAGCGGGTTAGGTTAATCGTTAATGTAGATATTGCAACATTTTGGGCCTAAAATCGAACCCTGTGGTACACCACTCCAAATAACCTTTTTATCGGAAAGTGAATCTCCACATCTGACTTGGAAGGTTTTGCTTTTCGCGTAAGGAATAATTAATTTAACGAAGCTATTTGGTAGCACTTAAGTTAGAGAGCTTATGAATTAATCCTTCGCGCCAAACGCGGTCTAAGGCTTTCTCGAAATCGAGAAAATAATAGGTTATAATTAAATAAAAATGAAAGGTAAATAAAAATGAAAGGCTATAATACACTGGCATACACGTTACACATGAGGAAAACCATGAAAACCCCCATGTAGTCAGCCCAAGCCCCACGAAACTCCTCATGGCAAGGAGCACAAGATTACGTCTGCCGTTGGCAACAGGCTTGACCACCTTACAGGGCAACTCCAGATTTTTGAGCGAATGCATCAGCTATGAACTCGGCTAGAATTAAAATTTGGTGCGTGGTGCAGTGCCTTTTTCTAAAGCCAAATGTTGAGTCTTCAATTAGTTCAAGTCGTTCCAGATGTTCAGTTAGTCAGGATTATCTCGAAAACCTTTCCTAAGGTAGGTAGTAAACTTTTTGGGAGATAGCTTGAAGTAAGATTTGGGTTTTTTCCGGTTTGAGAATCGTGATTATGATGGAGTGTCTTGATTGAAACGGAAAATAACATATTTACAGTAAAACTAGTTGCGTAGCAAAGAGAAAAAGGATGAAGTACCATCTGTCTGATAAAATAAAAATGAAAGGTTATAATTCACTGGCATACACGTTACACATAAGGAAAACCATGAAAACACCCATGCAGCCAGCCCGTTCGCGGGATTTGAACTTCGGACCGAACTACCAGTGTTCAGCAACTTTACCGCTCGGCCGCTGGTGGGCCTGAAAATGAAAGGAAGGAAAGCTAAGATATTAGACGTTAAAAGGAATCACTGTACTGGATTAAAGTCACTAGATGAATATTAATTTTTGGAACGCAAAAGTCTTCAAGGAAAGCTCATTAACAAAACTTTTTCAGTTCATCAATTGAAAATGCTTTGTGAATAATTTTCAGAGCCAAAATCAGCATTGTGTCTGAGTGGCCAGCTGTAATTAACTATCGAAGATTTTTTTATTTGGCATATATTTTTCTTTTCAGTTAGATCATGTACTTAGTTTAAACAAGATTTTAAAATATATATATATATTTGACAAACGAGATTTTAAAGAGCCTACAGTTAAAGTCGAAAATTTTAGTCGGTTGTGCGATTTCAAATCAATGAAGACTTCAGTTAACCTGATATTCTTTTAAGTTTTTTTTTAATAACTGCTATTTCCCCTCCCAGTCGGTATAGTGGTTAACAACTCAGACTGACGCACAGATGGGCTCGGGTTGAATCCCAAAGACGGCATGAATGTTTATAGTATAGGGTTTATAACCGCAAGTGGTACACAAAATGCACGGCAAGCCGAAAGTCCTCTCGAGACGCTGATTCTAGCGGAACGGTGTGGGAGATTTTCGAATCATTCGCTTGGGTATTCTTCCCAAAAATTAGGGTGGAACTGCACAGTTAGGGCGGCAGGATTATAGTTGTACGATTGATCATGAATTTCTGGTGTCCTGTCTCCTTTCCTATGTACGTTTATACGTTTTTGTTCGCACTAAACAATTTAAAGTCATTCAAACACCTTCTCTTTAGCTGTCATAAAATGAAGTTCAAAGTAATCTCTCAAAGCTACGACATGTGCATGAAAAAAACACTTTTCTGTATTTTTCTGTAATCATAAAAGTAAGAAGCATGTTATCAGATTTTCATTGCTATTATCATCGGAGAGATTCATTGGTTATTATCAAATCTTAAATTTTTAAAATAGACTAATATATAAAAATTACATTCCTATCGTAATGATGAAAATGATATATTTGATTGTTCCTTATAAATATGAGTAATCTTATAAATATAAGTAATTTTTTCCAAACGATCTTTGTTGCAAGAAAATGCTGCCCTCGTTATCTTCCTTTTCCGTGCATTCGAATCCATACATAAGTTCCCTGTTAATAGAAGACGCTTTGGCAATTGTATCAAAATTTGGTAAAATTGGTTTGTATCAAACCAGTGGTAAATTATATTATTTTCTTTAATTTCTCTAAAACTCTTGACCATTTACACCATATTACACAGTCATTATTCATAATTTTAAACTGTCGCCAAGGAGATGTTATTGTTTCTTAAAAATGATACTGCTGTTTAAAATGCCTGCAGTTTTATCAAATATCTCGCAGCTTTTCCTCAAGATAACTTCCTTACACTAATATGCAGCAGAAGGGATTGAAGCTCACTCCCCATATGCTTCACAAATTAGTATATAGTCTTTTAATATATAAAGTACTCTCACTGTAAGCATTCACTGTGAAGTGACCCTAAATCAATTAGACATCCATGTTTATATGCGGCTAATTTTGGGGAAGCTTCGAGCGAACTTCAGGAATTATCGAAGGACGATAATGAGAAAGACACTTATTAAATGCATAGTTCTAAGGAAATAAGCCAAACTTCATTTACTACAGAAGACACGAAACTCAACTTCAAATTTCTGAATTCAAAATATAATTTCTAAATTTCTAACATTTATTCTGCGTTTATATCTTGGTCTGTAATTTCATTCGATTTCTTTTTTTTTTTTTTTATTTTCCTGGAGCGGCTGAGGAGCTCCTACGAAGTGCATGCAACACACAGCTTCAGAACCGTTGTCTGGAAGAACTGGCAGTAACGTTCATCAGCTAACTCATGGCTGGAGTTAGAGAACTATTAGGAAGCAATAGTAACACTCATTTTATGGGTTATTCGATAGCGGAAGACAAACAAATCAGGGTCATGAGAGAAAAGATAACTTTAATCTTTTAACATCTCACCGGCGTCTGTATCTATTAAACAACTACAATATTTATGCCTGCTGGTCTGAACGTCAAGAATAAAGGCTTCCTTCTATTCTGAGTTGTAAAAAGACTCAGAAACTAACAAAGCGCGTTTGACTGTTTTTTAATACACTCCTAGACTTCTTCGCACGTAAGAAAAACATATCTTTCCGCGATCGCTGTATTAACAAAACTGTTAATTATCTTCGTTTTCACCACCTCCCGCTTACGGTATAGTAAATATTTTCCTCAAATTTCCTTTGATTATCCAAAAAAATGCTAACTAAAATAATTCTAAAATAAACAATAAAATAATTCTTGCGAAAATGAAGTATTACGTATAAAGCTGACTTTAGTAAGTAGGTTTAAATTATTAACTGTGTACAGAAGAAATATTTAAACAAGCAAATTTACATTAATGGTAGTTTTGACAAAATTAAATCGATACGTAAGAGATTACTCATATTTATAAGGAACAATCAAATATATCATTTTCATCATTACGATAGGAATGTAATTTTATATATTAGTCTATTTTAAAAATTTAAGATTTGATAATACCAATGAATCTCTCCGATGATAATAGCAATGAAAATCTGATAACATGCTTCTTACTTAGATAGTAAAAGACGTAAAATACGCTACAGCATGTTGCTAAAAGCTATGCAATAGCATGTGATATAACATATTCTTCAATACATGTTAATTTCAAATTTTACTATAAATTGATGCAGAAAAGAATGTTTCTTTCCTTCTTTTAGACGAGATACGCATCTCTTCATGAATACACCTAGGCAGCATTGATCTGCAGTACATTCTTGATTGCCACATGATTCTTGACAATCAGCGATACCAATCATCTGTAAAGAACACACAGTTAATAATAAAATGAACCTTAGGAAGTAGTAATTTCAGAAAATAGGTACATATTGCACTCTATGAGTTTAACAAGAAGTTTTTAATTGCAATTTGGTGCGGCGCGAAATATTGCATAATGTTCTTTATTTCATGAAATGCACGGAAAGCAAAAATTTACTTTGCATTTGTTAAATATGATACTATTTTTGCTTATTTTTAATCTTTAAAAAATTGATGTTTCCATAAATTTAATATTACTATTACATTAAAATTTTAACTTATCTTAGGCAACGTTGATAAAATATTTTTACATCAGCTTTTATAACATTTTGCTGACTATGTTTACGTTGACTTACATTGTCTCATGCACTCTGAGAAACAAACCAGAAAGTTGATTTCTTCAAAAGTGAATTATTCTGAGCAGCCTCTTAAAATTAATGAATTATTCAACAAACATCTCTTTTACGTCACTTTTTTACGTCAGCTTTCAAGTTTACGAAGTGTCTAGCATTTTTTAAGAGGTTTGCTATGTATTCGCTTCAAGAGTTTTCTCACTTCCTTTACTGTTAATAACTTTTAATTGCCTTTTACGGCAAAATTATACTTTTGATATCATTTTGAATCCTTTTTGCTTTGATTTTGCTTACGTTGACTTATTTTGATTTAAATTGTCTCAATGCAGTCTGAGAAACAATACCAGAAATCTGATTTTTTCAAAAATGAATTATCCTGAGCAGCTGCAGTGATTAAGGCCCCTCACTCTAAATAATAGGTATTCTTCTCTTCATTGCAATTAAACACATAGAAATATCTCGGTGCCAATGTTTATTAAACAAAACATAAGAAAGAAAAAAACGAGAAAATAGAAATTATAAAACAAAAAGCGTAAATTGAAAACTAAGTACTTTTCTTAATTAAAATCATTATCTAAAACCTGGGGCACCATCTTAAGACATGCTGTGCATGATTATGTATGAAACTGTAAAAAGGAATTTCTAATTTAACTCAGTCTGATAGTAAAATCCTAACTAATTGCTTTAAATATACAGCTTTTCATTGCAACATCGATTTTATTTAGGATCAGAGCATCCGCGACTATATTTAAAATCCGAATTTTAAAAGAAAACGAATTTTGCACTGTGGATTTTCTGATTATGCAAATGTCTAAATAAAACCACCATTAACGAAAATATAGGCATTTTACAAGGGCAAATGGAAAAGCGTTTCACTCTCTTCTTTCCGCAGTGTGAGAGTCGTCCACATTTTCCCTGTCTACATGCGCATCAGATGGAAGAATTCGTTCTTTAGCATTAAATTTGACGCAATTTATTATTACATTTTAAGAGTTATTAATATGCATATATTACTCATTTTTTTGTTTGGAAGTTCGCCTTCTAGTGTACATTTATGTTTAAAATTGTCAATTTAAAGCTAGTTTCTTTTAAAGATATTTATTCTCATTTCTGATCATTTTCAGAGTTCTGTATGATTCTCAATATATGATTCTCTCTCTATATGATGCTCATTTTAAAATTATTTTGCGACATTGCTGTTGAACTGAATTTTATGGTTTAAGTGCAAAGAACATGACATTTAATAAATAAAGGTAACACACAAAACGTTGACATAACGCCTCTTTGTACGTAATTTAAAATCTGAAACCTTTCAGATTTTTTTTTTTAAAAGAAATTCAAAGAATGACTGAAAATGAAACAGATGAGATTTTAATCATCTGTTTAATTCAACCGAAGCTTAGATTTTGATCATCCTCTGAGAATACGAATTACTTAAAAATGATGAAACTTGACTGGTATATGCACTAATTATAACATAAAAACCCAAGATATACTCGTTTCACATAATACAAGAAAACGGGCTAATTAATAGTTTATGATGCTTAAGAGCTTTTTCTTCCACAGTTAGAAGTCCTGAATTTAACAGACTCAATCTGACATCAGTAGTTGTGATCAAAGACAAAAGATATTTCTCTGTGATCAAGATTTGAAATTAGCTGATGTCCCGTTTCGGTGCTTCTGACTTTTTATGAGTAAAATCGTAATTCTAACTAGAGTGCACTGAAAACTTAACTAAGAGAAACTCCTTTCTGCTATAGATTTTTCTCACTTTTATTCTGTCAAATTAAAGGGCGAGGAACCTAGTGAACTGCTAAGCGAATAATCGCTTAAGTCCAAGAACAGAAACATAAATTGAAGAAGAGTTAATTACTCTTTATTCACTCAATTTAAAAAATATGTTATGAAGGCCATATAAAGAAAATACTTAATGCGCCCTCTTTAAATTTCTGAAATGTATAAACTTTTCATTTCTTCAATAAAATGTTACACACTGTGCTAAAATATCTCTGTATTAGCTTTGCGTAAGCGTATTTTGAACGTCATGTTTTTAGATACAATTGAGAATGGCATCATAAAAACTAGATTCATTGCCTGTTCTTTCTAATATGAATAAATTGCCCGTAATTCAATATAAATGTAAAGCAATTTACCTGAAACTTTGTCTTACCTAGCATCATTAATTTAAAAATCTGATCACTGAAGTAATTATCTCATGTCCCTGTGTATGCTCTCATAGTGTAAGTTAACAACTTGAAGATTCGTGGTTCGGATCACTGTGAAAGCACAGTTAATTTTTCGTATTTTCTTATTTCGAAAATATATATTAGTTCTCTGCAGTGTTCCCCGAGCTTAACTTTGATGAAAAATCCTTCTCCACCTGGATTTGGTTGACTGATGTCTAGCATCTTTCCCCAATTGACCTTTAAGTCAAGAAGAAAGCGAAGAACATTTGCATGCTTTCATACATGCTCTTGAGAAATGAGTGGCTAGCACGTGCAACTGGCAAATGGAAGATTCGGGTTTGAAATTTGTAAAAAAAATATGACTGATTGAGGAAGAGCTTAATTTCGATGTATCACATATTAATATCCCATCGTTTGGCTATCCAAAATAGCTGTTAACTTTGTAAGTTTCATTTCTTGTAACATATTCAGAGAACTTTCTTGCAGAAAGCTTGATTTAAAATTAAAATATTATAAAATAGAATAGCGTAAAACCCAGCCAGGTATTATCTTAGTTAAGTACTGTAAGTTTTGTAAATAATTACGTGAGACTTTATAGACCTTACATTTTTTAAATGAATATATTAGATTGTAGGTGAGATTTCCTGCAAATAAAAAATAATTATTTAGCTCTTTCTCTTTGTGATTATGATTTGCTAAATAGAGATAAACTAAGTTTATCTGCACTAAAAAAAAAAAAAAATGTTATTACACCGAGTGTAACAAATTTTGACCTTTTCTTCTAAGATTAAAGATTAAACTACGATTATATAATTTAAGTTTTAAATAGTTTGTAACAGCTATCTCTAAGTTCGTAAACCGAAATTGAATTCATAACAAAATTTTAATTAATTGTTTTTCTAAGCTAAGCTTATTTCAAATTAATATTTATTGTCCGTAATAATTATCTAAAATTCTGTGAATATTTAGGCAGTCAAGAAAAAGCAACGTACTACAGCAATTTACTCGCAGAAATCTTCTAAAAGTACCACGGAATCACACTTGTTAAATATTATTAATGTTCAACGTACTAATAAGTAAAAGTTTTAAGTAGCTTACCAAGACGGCGACGAAACATACGATGATAGAAGAGTTCATTTTCTGATCAAGATTCAGCTCCCTTGTGATTTTGCTGTGGATAATCAAAGATTTTATACAGTGCATTAACAATAGCAACATGCAGATGTGCTTTTCATCTCTAATTACTAAACATGTTTTTCATTGAATGGTTATTAATTCAGGTCACACATCTATTGTAGCTGTTCTTTGCTTAATCATTTCAGCATATGTTTCGTTTATTCCCTTTTAACCGAAGAGGAACTAATTAGGATATTATTTTTCGCATCACTCTATTTAACTTTTCCTTAAAATACATAAGTAGAATTATTTGCCAATTTTCTGCAAAATTTTCTTGCTCATGATTGAAAACATTTCTATACTTCATTATTTTCATATTTGAAACTTCTAAACGATATAAATAATATTGTTTCATTCTACTGCAATAATCACAATAGACTAATGCTATTCTTACAAATTTGTTACATTACGCGCTCCTTTTAAAGTAATGAAACAGCAATAATTATTCTGAGTATGAAATAGTTACGGTTAATTTTTTATTTGAAATGCTTTATTGGAATTTAAATTTTAACCAATACTGTATGTCCTGACATACTTTACACCTTTTTTCAACTAATTTTATCGTCTGAAAACCAAGAGGGGAAAATTATGCGAGTAATTTCATATCGGATGGACACAGTTACAGAAAGAAAATAACAAATTAAAATTAGGCGTGGAAGAGCTAAGAGCTACGGCTAATTATCACAATATTAGTTCTTTAAGAGAAAACTACATTCTGACAAACATGCATAATAATACTGACATTACAATACCTAATACGATATCTTCATTATTATTTCCCTGTAACCTGAATCTCTCCCTTTCCTACTGTTGTCCACTAATACTCCCCAGGCCTCAAATCGCTCAGTGCTCCTGGACATTACTGTCTGCGTTGTCTATTATGGCCTGAAGTCGACACCATCTTAGTTTTCGTCATTGTTCAGTCCATCTTCAGCGAGAACCACCAAGAGCATTAGATACCTCCTTTTCCCGAAGTTCTTCGCTCTGATTGCTTTATCAATGCACCTAAAATCAAGGAACAAATCGATTCAATAGATGTTGTCCGAATTTTTCCAGTTCTAATAAAATGGTGCGACGCTGCTGATATCTACTGCTTATAAAACTGTCGGAGATAGTATTTGAACGCGCGGAAACTGTCCAATATAAAAACTCATTTCTTATGTACAAGTGCACCTGGCCGACGGTTCCATATAATTTTGAGCTACTCTTTTAGCAAGTCGGACGACATACAACCAATTTCATATACCGTAACTATGACACGACTAGGGAGGTTTTGTTTCTGCATCGTCTTTAATTCGAAAACTACAAAAGATGAGAATAATTCTTGTCTTCACAAATCAGTATTAAAATTTTATATATTTTATATATATTACGTATATTTTAATTTCATAACATTTATTTTAAGTTTTTACTGCTCTCCTATCTCTTCTAGCTTCAGCTTACAGTTCCTTACAGAATGAATTTTTAGAATCGCTTTAAATGCAAATGAGAAGTAGAAAGTATTTAAGTAAAAGTTCCACTGACTTCAACAGAGAGAGTTAGGATTTCTAAGCAGCGCGCGTTTGCCTTGTGGCTACGTCTCTCTAACTGCTACTACGCTACGCGCGTATTGGAGAGATCCGAGTCCGATGAGGGCATTGCTCATTTTTCACATCTCTCGGAAAAAAAAAAATCTAATGTCTCTACAGTGGCGCCCGAACGTGGTAGATGTTGATTCTCCACTACCAGGATTTGACCATTGGATTCCGTAATCCCCAGTCGCCCTTTAAGAGGGGGCGTATATAAGGTATTTCATCGCCTTTTTAGCATGCCTTCGTGGTGTAGCGGGCAGCACAATCGGCACATTCCGAGATGTCCGTGATTCGAGTCCCGGCGAGGGCATTGATCATTTTTTATCTCTCTTGCTTCAAAAAAAAATACTAATGTCTCTACAATACAACTGGGAAACGCACCTTCTCCGGCTCTTGTATTTTTTACAAAGACAGAAGATGCACCATTTTAATTAACTGCAGTGTTATTATGCACTTCAAAATACTTTCATCTGCGTTTCATGTATGTCCAAGGCCGTAATCGTAATCTTTTCCTTGCTAGATCACGAACCTGTCAAATTCTAACACATTTTCTTCATAATCCTGTCGTAGCAGTAATGCAGGTATCGTTCTTCTCTTTAAACGAAGCAAATTTTTTCCCATCAACGATCTGCATATCTAGTGCTTGCTTTAATTTTGAGAGTTTATTATCATGGTTTTCGCTTTATCTCTGTTTTCATTTGTATCATTTTACGTGATGCAGCTATGCCATTGTTTCTCTGCTCTGTCTCGTAATTCAGCGCTTTACTCTCAATTTCTGGAAATCTTCTGTTTTTTGGTCGTTGAAACACTCTTCTCTGTGAATTTTCCTTTTCAGTGCATTTTTCTGTTGTTTTCCATTTCCTTCTGAGCACTAATGTATCTCCTGGCAAGTACGATTAACTTCAACAAATTTGAAAATCTTGACAACATAAACTTCAATGAATTAAAAATTTGTAATTTAAGTTTAGGAATGTAGCTATGATTGTTTTCTTTCCACATGGTTCTGCAATTCCCCAGTACACTGCGCTCGTACACACATCAAAAGAAACTTCTTTTCATTATGAATTCACGATCCTAAATAAAGAACCGAATCGAATTGATGATGTTGAAGCCACGCACAAGAGGGATATCCGCCTAAGAGGAAAGATGCTTTTGTGTAGGACCATCTAAGGAAAACTGATTAGTATTCACGTTACAGATGGGGAAAACTAGGAAAATAATCCATGCAAACGTTTCCCGGGATTCGAACTACGGAACGAAATACCAGTTTTTAGTGGCTTTACCGCACTTCCGCTGTTGGGGGCGGGGGAACTAAGAAGAAGGTCAAGAAAACATCAGGATTTCAAACGAACACATCAGCAGCAGATAACTCTATAATCAGCTCAAGCGTAAATAGCAGAAGTAAAATGAAGTCCGCGTGTTTCGAAAGTTTCTTGCCATAAATACCACAAAAGAAAAATCCTCCCAAAATGCATTTCAAATAACATATGCTAAATAGACATTTCTAGTGCTTTTTGCTTCCCGAAATTACTGAAAAGCAATACGAAGGTGGAATTACGTTTACAGCTAACATAACATAGGGGTCAAATACATATATTTAGTTAAAATACTTATTACGGTGATAGAGGGACCAGACCAAAATGTTATCAAATTCGGCGACTTTCGGAGATTTCTCGACCAAAAAGGTCGCCAAAACCCCTGTCAGCTTGGCAATATCTCAACAAACTACCGAGACACCCATTATTCAATTTTAAATGTACTTGCCCTTGTATCCTTACTTTTCCTGCATAGCTTATAAGGTATTTCTCCCGCCTTCTTAGAGTGCCTTTGTGGTGATCTGCACGCTGGGCGCGTATTCCAGAGGTCCGTGGTTCGATTCCCAGCGAGGGCGTTGCTCATTTTTCATCTCTCCTGCTTCCAATTAACCTAATGTTCCTACAGTGGTGCGCGAATTAAAAGGGTGGTGGATGATGATTCTCCCCACCAGGATTTGGCGATTGGCTTCCCTAAACCCCAGTCGCCCTTTAAAAGGAGAAGTATATAAAGTATTTCTCCCGCTTTCTTAGCGTGCTTTCGCGGTGTAGTGATCCGCACTTCAGGTGCGTATTCCAGAGGTCCGTGTTTCGATTCCCGACGAGGACGTTGCTCATTTTTCATCTCTTCTGCTTCTCATGAGCGTTCTGAATGCGCTGAATTCCTTTCCTCCACAATATCCGCAAACGGCAGCACTTAGAGAGATCCTCTTGACGTTAGACTTATCCATCCCTTTAAAGATCAACTGGATAAAAGGACACTAAAAGGAAGAAAGGCAACGAATGAGCTGATGAACTAACTAGGACCGCAGCTCTCAAACCAGAAATTGACAAGGAAATTCCACTTTTCGCAGAAGTTGGAAAAAGGTTCCTGAAGACAACATTCCAGGAGACATGGTCATCAGATGGCAGGAAGAAGTGTTAGCCATTTCCACAGTCTACTGCCAGATGGCGTCATGATATTAAAAGATATTCAAAGCATTTGTAATAAAAACTAAAAACGAGAGATAAAGAATGTAACCACGGAGTTAAAAGAGTAGTAGAATAAAGTATTATAATGATGTTGGTTGTGAATTTCTGTCCTGTTAAATAATAACGCAAAATCAAAAAGATACGCATAGTGGATGTAAGAGAAAAATCCTGACACTAACAATTTCAGAAGTGGGATTGTCGATGTCGATGTCAATTTATTGTGACTGAAGGCTATTGAAGGTCTGATACAGAAACAAAAAAGGTAAACGTTTTGTTTTTTACTCCGTTGTAAAGTTATTAAACGTATTAATGAAACGAATAAACATATGTATGAAAGCTTTTAAACGTATTTTCGAAAGCTATTGAACGTATCAATAATAAGTATTAAACGATTAAACGTATGTAAAAAGGTAACTTAAGGATATCTTTTCTTGGCAAGGGACGCAAAAGCGATCTAATTGAACTTGCGATGGAAATTGGTGAAACGTTTCCACCAGACGCCATTGTAATTACGATTAAAATCATCATCACTAATAGTAAAAATTATGACGAACTATTTGTAAAGCAAGTCTTTGAGAGAATTATTTAGGAAAGAAAAAAGAGGATGAAAGATTAGAAAAATAATCACAATTAGAAATTCAAGAACGAAAAAAACAAAGACTATTAGAGTTTCAAGAACGAGAAAAACGAATACAGTTAAAGTTGAAGATCGGGAAAAGCAAAGGAATTTTGAATTACAAAAACTAAAGCTTTTAAACGAAAATAAAGTAATGTCTGAAACGTCAACGGAAAATATAAGCACACGAGAAAACAAAAAATGTATTGATTTGAAAAATCTAATGCAAAAACTCGATTTAAAGGATGGAGACATATCTTCATTCCTAGTAATATTTGAACGTCAAGCCAAACGGGTGGGGTTAAATGAAGATGATTATGTTTTTCATTTATTAGGA